AATAAAAGATTGCAAGAGAAAAATGTTGTGAATTGCTTGATCTTGGGTAAAATAATATTTTCTAGTGAAATCACCAACTCCCAATAGTGGATATATACTTAAACTTAAGAACTTTCATCCTTCTTAATATCCATAAAAAGGTGAATATACCCCTTTCTTAAAATATCCCTTATTCCTCTAGAATATTCATGTAATAAAATATTTTAAGGAATTCACTACCTTTGGTATAACAATCTAGCACATTCAAATGTTAGTAAAACTATATTCATCTAGTGGTGATGTAAGTTTGGTAAATAACCTTATGGAAGGGTAAGGTGATTTAGATGATTTTGATCTTAAAAACTTTTCATTTATGAATGTTTTGCTTAATTTCCTGATAAGGAGGAAGAGCTATGTGTTGCATGTGTAGTGTTAAAGCTTTTTCTACATAAGGAAATATCATTAAGTCATAATAATTAAAATAAAACATTTCAAATGAAATCCATCTACTTAGAATCTCCAAGTAGCCAAAGGGAGGTGCTTTGCGTAGCCCCCACTGTGCGGCAATGAACCTAGTGGCACGTAAAATCAGAAGAATACTTTAGTAATCAACCATATTACAAAGAAATAATTTTAGCAAACATTTTAAAATTTAATAATAGACTATTAAATGGTGTGGGTGAAAGGTCAAGTGTTGCACTTCCAACAATTGTAACTATAAATGCATTTTATACTTCCTCCTCAACAAGAAGAGTTTAGCTCTTTTGGGTTCAATGTAAACTTCAATCTTGATTGTGAACTAATGCCACAAAGTTATATTTTATATTATTTTTAATAAGTTTTTTATTATTGGAGGATTTCTAGGTCCTACAAAAATTGAATATACTAAGGGTACATGGGCATTGAAGGAAGTGGGCTTTAACACTTTGTGGCAAGTTTGTATTAAGAATCCAAAGTTGATAAATGTGGCTACTTATGAGAATTTTACTTTCTCTATGTTTATTTTAATATTTGTGAGTAGAATGTAAGATGAATTAATTGGAAAAATGAGTTTTGGAATTAAAGCCACTAACTTTTGGTAGACTTATTTATATGTGGTTATATTGGGTTTTTTGGATAACAATTTATAATGTTATATAACAATATGAGTGATTCAAGAAATTCAATATCAAGAAAGTAAATATCTAGTAGATCTAAACACCTTTTATAAATAGCTAAAACAACCAAATTGACACCAATATATAATAGCAAGAGTGTCTAGTGGATATGATAAGCTATTATATAGTGATATTGAGGGACTAGTGCTCAATATATAAAAGATTTTATCAAGCTAATGCAAGACAAAACAAATAAGAACTAAAAATTTGGCTAGGTATACTCAATAAGAAATACATATGAGTTCTTATTATATGTTTATTTGGCTCAAATGTTAAATCTAATTTAGTAACATTTGAAAAAAAACAACTAACAAAAGGAATTGGCAATATTGATTTTTTGCCATTGTGGCAATAAAGATAGAATATTTGAAAGATTTAATATATGATACCTAGGGTCATATTTGCAATACTACAAAAGACTTAGTAAATTGTTTTTCCATTGTTATACTTTAATCATTTCCCAATACTATGCAATCCATTCAAAAAAAAGTTTTCAAAGATACATTTGAGACTGGAATTGGGGACCTAGAACTCACTCCAAACATTTCAAAACCAACATTTAGAATACAATATAATTAAAGCAGTTCTTTAATACTTTATAACTTTTATATAAATGTAGTGAGATATGCAATTCAATGCAGCCAAAATAACTAAATATGTGAGGGAGTTATATTGCAAAAAGTACTAATAACTTCTTTTTTTAAGTGCCGTTAAATACTATTGAGGACAAATCTATATATGTCTAAGAAACACAAAACAATTATGCAAAACTAAAGTGTTTGAGAAAATTTCTAGAGGTTAGAAATTTATTAAATATAGCTATCTAAGTTTGTTATTTCATACAACCTTCCAAGTCTATTTTACAATTACAAAATAGGAGTGATCACAATGATCTTGTAGAGAAAATATAAAAGGATCTAAATAATTATTTCTCTTAGGCAAAATGATCAATTTTTCCTAACAATACAACTTCAAATATCAAAGAAAGAGATGGTAGATCAACACAAATATATAGTTAGTCTAATTTGTTATTGTATGATATATATTTGTAATGCACATAGTTTTGACTCTATACCATATAGTAATTTACCATAAGATAACCATATAGCAGAATTTTAACCCTTGGACACATATGCCAAGGGTAATATGAGTTTTAGGGCCTTGGGCTACTAAAAAATTGAACATATAGTTGTAAGCTATAAATTTTTATTTTTCAATTTGCTAGCTTACTTTGTTTATTTGACCACCTTTGCCTTGACTTTAGTTAGGTTCTTTTGCTAAGGTTCATGTCTATCATACTAATTCCAACTTGATTCTACTTAGGTTCAACTATTTATTATATGAGCATGGGGGGTTAACCAACTCTTTACAGATTCCTAAAATTTCTTTTAATCCCCCTCCTTAAGTTAAATTGAACTTTAGGTTCATCTACAATCTTTGTAAGCACAAGCAACCAGGCACACTAAACCTCCAGATTCTTAACATCCTATAGTATAGTAAAACTTATTTATAAGACCTTTTAAATCCCAAGCGTTAGGTGCATTCTTTTAGTTTGGGAACCTAAAGGGAAACATTATGGTTTAATGACTTGATATAGATACCTTAACTCCCCACCTCTGTCCTAAATGGAAAGCCCAAACCTTTAAGAAAAAGCAAAGACTAATGAACCTCATGATACTCAAGTGGGACACCACTCTACCAGTGTTAGGAGCACTACAATTAGTTTGCTTTTCAGGAGTGGGAACTACTTTTGAGCACTTTCTTAAGAAGCCTCTTTAGCATTCCTTAAATCTATGCTTATTAACCCCTAATCCCAACCCTAACTTGATTTGGAAGCACTGCTGGAGAATTCCTTCAAGATTGCATCCTAACCTCACTATCCCTATTATACTTTTGGAACCCTTTACATGTTTAAGAGATGATTGCTTTGAGCTTTCACCCTATGATCTGTATTAATATTTAAACTTAGCCCCTGGACTTGGTTTTGGACTCAATCTTGAATTCGATCTCGGATCTCAAACTCAATCTCATCAAATGAACTCTTTATTATTTTGGTCTTGATTTTGGGGATCTTTTTAGCCTACAACACTTCAGTAAATTGGTGCCAAAAAGCAAAGGAATAAAAGCATATAAAAACTCATAAACATATAACTAAAGAGTAAAAAAAAAAGAGTATAGAGTGATATTGAAATAGTTCTAGAGCACATAACATCCTAACGTGAATACCTGTATGTAAACGGAGCTAAATAAAATCTAGGGTTATTTCAATATATCAATAGTCTAATGCAAGGATATGGGTAATCCATTAGCTAGTGTGTTATAAAGTTTGGGCTTACACCCAAGTCAAATGAAAAACAAAAAGAAACATACTCAATAAGGAAATAAATAATGCCCAACCTACCTTTTATCCCTACTATATATTTTATACCTTCTATCCCTACTATCTAAGGATACCTATAAGTTGTGTTATGTAATTGCACATACAATTAAGTAGTATTTTCCTTTTGAGCCTAATGTTTGTACATTTAGAGATTTTGCTAGATCATAAGATGGGCTATAAAGTACCTAAAAGAACTAATTTAACAAGCTATAAGTGTGGCAGTTACTTCTCATGTATGTAGTGTAATTGAAAATTATTTATTTTGATCATAAAATGTTATAAGTTTGACAACAAATGCTACTCTTCAGATTGTTACCTTGATAATAAAGAAGATCCCAAAGAGGTAAAAATGTTTTAAGATGTATATGTCATTGATTCATTATATTAAGGATTCTATGCCAAAATTATTAGCTAATAACAATCCAATATAATTGTATAATTTTAAAATATAAGATTACTATTAGATTAAAATTTAGACTATAATGTGCAAGTATATTTAAGAATACTCTAAGTTTTGATTAATAAAATTAATTACAGAATCTAAATATTTTTTCTATCAAATTTTATAAAAAAAATTTGAAATAATAATTAGATTTTAAGAATTTGACTCTATATGGTAGTAGATTTACTTTGTTTTAATATAGCACTAATAAAAGCTGAAATTTCCCTCTATGTACCTTCACGACTATATAGTGGTTAGTTCTTTTTTGATTCATCATCCCTCTCAGGGTATGTTATGCCTCTCCAAACAGTAGTTGATTGGTTAGTTCTTTTTTGATTCATCATCCCTCTCAGGATATGTTATGCCTCTCCAAACAGTAGTTGATTGATTGTAATGCCAAAAGTTTGCACCTCTAATTGCGTTTTTTGCTTAGATGAAATAAAATAATAAAGAATAAAATCTAAACATTAAAATCTTAAATGTTAATTAAAATAAAAAGATATTTTTATTTTTTAAATTATGTTTATTTAGGCTGAAAAGGACCAATAAGTAAATAATTTTAAATTTTATTTTATCTAAATTTAAAATATCTTGTTTAAAATAAGGTTGTAATTTAAGCTTAGAATTTTGCACTGGTGTTTTATTATATTACAACTTTCAGTGCAGGTAAAGGAAATTGAGTTGCTAACATAACTTAATTATCTTGGAGCTCTTTCGCCCCATGATGGAGATAAGTCTTGTTTTCTTGAGCTTACCATCTTTGAAAAAGAAGCTTTGGGAGTTTTTCTAGGACTTTTCCAACACCACCTCCATAATCCATCACGCTAATGCATGGGCTGTATTGCAAGGCTCTCCTCTGCAAGGCCAATGAGATGATCAACAGCAATGCTAAGATGGGCATTCTCAAGGACTACATGATGCCTTTGTATGTACTTGATGTATAATGTTAGTGTTATGCTTGCATAGCACCCACCCAAATTCAGGAGCTGCAAAAAAAAAGAATCTATTGCATGAGTGATCCGCTGGTGAATTGTCCGGTCAGCCAGCAGACCATGTATCTCCAGCAGCAACAAGCATGAATCCGGCAGCTGCACGAGAGCTTTGCCTCGATCTAGAGAAGTGCGTTCTTCTCATCAAATCCTCCACAACAATCGCCCAGGCCAAGTCCACTCACTTGCGAGTTCTTCCTTGTCTCAAACACTTTCCCGGCTCCCAGGTCTTCCTCTCCAATCTCCTCATACAAATGTACGGAAGATGTGGCAGCATCTCCGATGCTTGCTTGGTCTTTGAGGGAATCCAAGATAAGAATTCCTTCTCGTGGGATCTTTTACTCTCGGCATATGCCCAAAACGGGCATATTCAAAAGGCAAAGTACGTTTTTGATGAGATGCCACAAAGGTCCCCGGCATCATGGACGGCCATGTTGGTGTCATACGCACGGAGTGGCCACCTTGGTGATGCCGAGGATATGTACAAATACATGCCCTTTAAAGACATTGTGGCCAAAACCTCTATTCTTGTGGCATATGCCCAATTGGGGCATCTTGCTAAAGCGCTTAAAATCTTTAGCGAGATGCCTCGCGCTGATCAAATTTGCTGGAATGCAATGCTTTCGGCCCACACCCTAAACGGGAATCTCATGGACGCTAGAAGATTTTTTAAGTCAATGCCTGCAAGGAATCTATCATCGTGGACGACTATGCTCTTGGCATATTCTCAAGCTGGGCATCTGGTTGGCGCCAGTTACATATTTGATTCTATGCCCTACAGGGACATGGTGTGCTGGAACGCGATGTTCACGGCATTCTCCATCCACGGATGTCTGGAAGAGGCGCGAGGAATGTTTGAAGTGATGCCTGAGCGAGATCTTGTGTCGTTCAATGGGATGCTGTGTGGATTCGTCTACAATTTTGCCAGGGATTTGGAGCACGAGATGGTGGAGGAATCGAGAAAACTTTTTGATTCAATGCCGGAGCGTGATCTCGTGTCTTGGACGAACATGATCTGCCTGTATGGCCAGAGTGGAGATCTGGAAAAGGCGCAAGAAGTATTTAATTCCATGCCGGATTTTGACGTCGTTTCAAGGACAGCGCTTCTTGTCGCCTTTACCCAAAATGGCGATCTCGCTGCTGCTAGAAACGCATTCGACCAGATGCCGCAGCGGGATATCATCGCCTGGAATGCTATGCTTCTTGCAAATGCTCAGCATGGAAAGTTTGTGGAGGCTAGAGCCTTTTTCGCCGCCATGCCAGTGAGAGATCTTGTTTCGTGGAACACAATGCTCATTGCCTATGCCGAGCGCGGCGATTTGGAATCCGCTAAACTTTGCTTTGATTCTATGCCGGGAAGGGATCAAGTATCCTGGAATGCTCTAATTTCCGCGTATGCCGAAGCCGGCCATTTGTCACTGTCGACATTGATGTTTGATAGTGCGCCTTATCACGATCTAATCTCTTGGAATGCAAGGTTAACAGCATTCACGCACCATCTACAGTTTACGGAATCAGTTAAGATCTTTCACCAAATGCCAGACCGAAACATGGTGTCCTGGAATGCAATGCTCTTGGCATTTGCCAGAACTGGGCATGCGGTAAAGGCCTTAGCGTTTTTCCATGCCATGCCTGCTTGGGATGTTATTTCCTTCAACACCATATTGGACATGAATTGGAGTATGCAGCTCTTGGCTGCGATGCTTTTGGAGGGATTCTTTGCTGATGATGTGACGTTCACATCAGTTTTGTTGGGTTGTAGTCATCAAGGTGGAATAGTAAATGCAGGGTCAGTCTTTTTGTCTATGATAGTTGACCATGGACTTACTGTAAGGAGGGAACAATATGGATGTGTGGTTGATCTTCTTTGCAGAAGTGTTCATTTGTGTGGAGCTAAAGAAGTTCTACTTGCCATGCCATTTACACTAGACAGCTGTGATCGGGTCTGTATGCTGGAAGCATCAAACAATAAGATTTATTCTCCTTATTTCTCATTAAAAAGAAAAATCAGAAACAAGTACAATTAAATTAATAAACATAAAATTGAAGGTTTAAACCAGTTTATTATTTCTGGCTTTTATCAAACCTCAAAAATAGATAGTAAAATCCGTGTAGAGTTCTTTTCAAATTACAAACTTAAATTTATCTTGAATTTGATATTGTATGCATGTATGTACTGTGTAGAATTATTGTCTATAACCATTATCAAACCTCAAAAATATCATATTGAAGGAAGAAAATCCAAAGTTTTTGCATACAATTGATTTGAGAGAATTTAAATTTATAGCAGCTTTGAGAGAATTTAAGCAATTTGTACAATTATAATCTGGAAGAAGAGAAGGGAAAAAAATTGAGAAGCTATAAATTCACACATGATTAGGAAATGTTGATGATATATTCTTATTGATCAAGCTATAAAGAATGGCTAAGTCTCTCACAGATTGACTATTAGTTTTAAATTTAATATAGTTATATCTGACTACGGCATTAAAAGGCAAAAGTCAAATAATGATGCTTTCTAATTTTATTTTTTGCAAAATATATCAAATATAAAAAATTAATAGCCAAGAATATATTCACTAATGTATTAAGGTTATATTCTTGATTTTAAGGAGGTTGTCTTGGGATAATTATAACATGAAATAGTTAGCTGATAAAGAAATTAATAAGAGTTAAAGTTGGCTGGTGAATAAGAATTGAAGTTGGCTATTGAAGTGATCAATAGGAATTAAATCCTTGATATCTTTTATTGATTATTTACTAAAATACAAGTATATTTTAGATGGTAGTGAATATACCTAAAATATACTTGGTATTCTAACATCTAACGGTTTTATTCATTTAGATTAATCTTTATTTATAATTTATAAACATGTTTATAAATTATAAGCATTCTATAATATATTATAGTTTATTATAACATCTATGGTTGATATTAAATAATATTAATCTTATTTTACAAATTATAAATATATTTATAATTATAAAATTCCATTTGATCAATTAGATTAATAAGTAAGAATAATAGTACTATTAAAAAAGTCATTGTATGCAACATGCAGGAAATTATTTTAAAATTTTATAAAGAAAATAAGATATTATTGAAAGGATTATACCTGTACAATAATGATTGTTAGCAGAGGTATTTTTTATTTCAATATAATAAAACTACTAACATATAAAGGCCTCACACTTTATTTAATAAGTCAACTATAGTCAATATTTAAAACTTACCTAGTTATCCCCAAGAATGAGTTCTGATTATGCTTGTCTTGGTGTCATTTGTTTAATCTCAAATATATCTTTATGAATATCATTCATACATGTATCCTCTTTCCTTGATAACACATATTATGCCAATAAAAAACATTAGATGAATTATCACCCCTAATTGAAGTCATATGAGAGAAGGGAAATCTAATACATTGTAAATAAAAACAAAAGATTAAACATACAAGTTTTTACTTATACAGTTCAAGATGGGATATAATATACATATTGTTGTAGCTATAGCAATGAATATATGATTGCATGTTGGAGCATTATATATTTACACATATGTGGATTAATTTTTTTGTTTTGAGTTGTATGCAAAAATATTATACATACAATCACTTTTCGATTGCCATCTCTGCCAAGCATATGTGTAATATATAATGTTGTCTTTGCCACCAAATGTTTGTAATAAATTTGGTAGATATACATCCAACAAGTTTGAGTAAGTGAATATAACTTATTGTAAGCTGAGGTAAATATATTGGCCATGATCTTCTTAAAGTCAATGCTCAATGTTATATGGTGGATATTGTGCTGTGTTGAAAGCCTATTTGGAGAGCACTAGTCACCACTGTTGTCTTGACAAAGAGAATGCAATGCACAATATTCTTGATGGCAAACTCAAGAGTCTTTCAGTACATAGTACCAACCTCCACCACCCCAAAATCTTTATATATTCTTATAGACCTTTGTTTTGCCTTCTGTTACTGAGTAAAATTTGTTAGTCATCTGTCCTTCCACCACACTTCATATAGTGTTGAGTGGCTCCCATATGCATAGCACATAGAGGTGAAGGTCCTCAAACACCACCCACTATTGTGTGCTAAAATGAAATGCATCTATACCATTGCAAACCACATAAAGCAAAGCAACTACATAGGCAATCTGATTGCATCTTTGCTACTAGGATATGAAACATCATGATCCCAACCACATACACCTATATGAAATTTTTATATGTGTGCAGATGCCTTTCATGTTTGGATTGATGATTGAGTGGCTATATGAGTTGACCAAAAATTGGCCCCAAGAGCATGTGTGTGCTAACTTCACCCTCCCTCATACTTGTTGAAGTATGAATGCAAAACAAGCTGTACTTAGCCCCAAGCAGCTTTCATAGCTTGTCTCATTGACCCTCCAAAGTCTTGCATATTGTCATCTAACACCATCTGGCTACCAATAAACCGGCCATACACAAAGTAAAGAGGGGAAAGCCATCTTGTTCCTCTAAACATGGATGCAAAGCCTGTATATTAAGGCAAATTTATACACACTTGCAACACTCTAAATTTGAAAAAAATATATATTACATGCTCACCTAGCAAATATGAAAAACTATGTATTGCATGCTCACTTGGCAAGTTTTGAGGAGTTTGGGGTATCTAGAGCTGTGAATTGCATTTAGGAGTGGTTGAAGAGCCCATATGGCCTCATTATGGTAGTGGGCTCATTAAGCTTTATATTCATGCTCTATTACTTTGAGCAATTCCTATGGTATCGAATGCACTTTTTGTCACAATGGAAACATCCTCTTCACCCACTTTTGTGCCACATTAAATAGTTATGAAAAATATCAAAGTCCACCACTAAACTCCTGTGAGAGATTTGCTACTTGATTGTTATGCAAATTGATAACTCTATAAATTCCTCAACTTTTGTGTCCAAGGACAAAAGAATACCCTCCCAAATGTCTATATTGGGTAGTGTCCAAACCTACAATACAAAATACACACATTTCCCCACTATGGCATCTAGTCTTAAAAAGGTTGCTTTATTCTCCAATTATAGTAGAAGGTAATAGTGGCATAAGTGTGCATCCTCGCCTATATCCATAATGTATTTATGTGCAATCTTAATAGCCACTAAGGCCCCTAGCAAGTTTATCAAGTTTACATACATGCATGTTTGGCATCACAAAGTTGTAACCCTACACAGTATATCTGTGTGTTATTGATTAGCCGTAAAAAATCAATGTTATTATTTTCACATAGACAGAGGAAGTCTATCATATGGCCAATCTGTACCCTATCCTTTCATCCAATGCCACCACACTCTCTTCATCCTCTATTGAAACTGCCTCCTTTGTGGTTATAGCATTTATATTTACATCCGATATTGCATTAGTAACTACATCTATCTCCACGAGGACTTCGTTAAAAGTATGGGTTGAGAAGTGGGGCAACTTTGTAGTTGGCCCCAGTTGATGCAAGTTTAGAACTAACTTGGGTTCGTGTACCTCTAGAACCACCAAGTCTTAATGGTCATCAAATAGAATGACTACCTCTTGGCTTGGAGGATTATAAATTAAACAGCACCTTGCTGGCACGAT